CAGCAGCTTCCCGGACGTGGCACCCCCGCTGCCCACCACCGGGGCCGGGCACACAGGGCCTCCGCGCCGCTCCCCACTGCCCACCCCAGAGGCCGCAAACGCCTCTTGGGAGGAAGAGAAGTCGGTGGACTCCCGGGGACTGAAGTAGTTGCTGCTGCTGGGTGACTGATTCTCACTGGCCCGGCTGGAGGTATGGGGGCGAGAGGAGCTCATGGTGGCAGGGGCCACAGTGGCTCCACTCCCTGAGGGGGCCCCGGCCCCGGGAACGACCCACCGTGAGGAAGTTGACAATGTCGGCGGCTGCCATGCTGAGGCGGCCCGTGTAAGCAGAGGCCAGGACGGTCTCGAAGGCGCCGGGGTCCATGACGCTGGGCAGCGAGATGGAGGTCATGCCCTTGAGTAGGACCTGGTCATGGAAGTAAGGAGAGGAGGCGGCCAGGACGGCCCGATGGGCCCGAAACTCCCGGCCTTGCACCCGGATGGACACATCACAGAGCTGGCCCTGCAGCCGCTGCTGATTAAGAGACTCCAGAAGGGCACTGGTCACTTCGGGGAAGGACACATGGACCACGGCGGCCGCGGGCAGGGGCAGTGGGGGTGGAGCCAGCGACAGAGGCAGGGGGAGGGCCGGCCCACTGGGCGACAGAGGAGACGGCTCCATGGTGTGGAGAGAGGGGACACCCCCCCAGCCACAGGATCAGGAAGGAGGTGGGCGGCCGGGGGGGTCTCTGGGGAAAGAAAAGAGAGAAATGGTAACATTTCATAGAGGTTACAATGTGAGAACACGTCGTGCAGGTCTTCTAGGGAACTGCACAACACTGGGATGGGTGAGGGAACTGGCTGGGAAAGATGAAACGATTATCCAAGGTGAGAAGTGAAACGCCATCCAAAGCAGATGCCCTAACCCCAAATTGAGGGCCCACTACTTGGAGATCAGAGAAATAACACTCTCAGGGATTGAGGTGTCAACTTCCTTTGAAATTACACCCTATTTCCCATCTGCCTGAGAGCCGGACCTTCCAAAATCTACCTTTATGGTGTTTTGCACCCTTGTCTTGGGGGGCGAGAGTCACGTCTGCCACTCTATGAAAACCACCCCAGGCTCTCTTCTCTTAGGCCGTGACCCCGCCAGCTCTCACAGACCACGCCCCTGCCGCCCCCCTGAGTACCTCTAGCCCCACCCT